ATCTTATCAAGCTTAGATGTATTATATACAGGTCAGAAATTCTAAAGCAGCTAGTATTTCTAGAATATACTGAATTTCCTAAATCATCTTCAAATTTTATTAAGTTTATCTCTTAGCTAGAGATAAATACAATATTAACTTCCATGGAGAAAAAAGGAAGATAATAATTGCTCCTAGGAAAAATTACATTTTAAGAGAAAATCACTGAATTACTGGAGTAGACAAGTAATACATTTTGTTGACATGCATTAAGAGTATAATTTGCTCCTTCAATCTTATTAAAAAACAAAACAAATCCAAGAAGCAAAAAAGAAAATTTCCTACTGGGTTTCTGAACAATGAGATGAAGTCAGGTTTGTGTTTCTTCAAAATCATGTCAAGAAGGTGAACAGCTTCAGGTTGTCTTCTCCAAAGAGCACTTCCCACTGTTTGCCAAATGTCTTTGTAAGGACCCCATAGACTAGCAGCTAGAAAAAAAAGAAAGAAAGAAAATCAGCATCAAAAACTAGGTAAAACACACAAAACAGTACCTGGCATGTCACAGGCACTCAGTAAAGGTATGTGCCTTTCCTTCCCTCCCTCCCTGTCATCCAAATGAAAAGCAGGACTAGGAAAGTACTCAGATTTTAGAAAACTGAGAAGCTGAAAAATGTACTTTATTTTGGCTAAGGCAGTGGCTATTAAAAAACACCATATGGAATACTTTTATAAACTCATATAAAAAGGATCACATTTATTTATTTGTTTGTTTAGAGACACAGTCTCACTCTGTTGCCTGGGCTAGAATGCCATGGTGTCAGCCTAGCTCACAGCAACTTCAAACTCCTGGGCTCAAGTGATCCTCCTGCCTCAGCCTCCTGAGCAGCTGGGACTACAGGCAAGAGCCACCGTGCCCAGCTATTTTTTCTATTTTTAGTTGTTTGGCTAATTTATTACTATTTATAGTAGAAAGGGGGTCTCACTCTTGCTCAGGCTGGTCTCGAACTCCTGAGCTCAAGCAATCCTCCCACCTCGGCCTCCCAAAGTGCTAGGATTACAGGCGTGAGCCAATACGCCCGGCCGATCACATTTAAATTCATAAATGTAATAACAATAATAGGGAATACTTAATGAACGTTTGCTAAATGCTACTAAGCATGGTCCTAAGCTTTTTACACGTATTAGTATAGCTCATAAAACCCTATGAGGCCAGCATTATGTCTTCTGTCATTTTATTATTATTATTATTTTTTTTTTTTTTTTGGCAAAAATACACAGTAACCAATCTGTCATTTTATACATATGAAAATTGAGGCAGAGAGATCAAAACACTCACCACCAAGGTCACACTTGATAAGCAGGACTTGAAACCACACAGTCTGGCATCATAATGTAGCCTAAATTATAACTAAATTATATTGCTCCTGTACAGAATCCTTAGAACGTGAAAATGTTTGAGGAGATGAATTTAGGTATTTCAGAAATACCTGGTACATAAATAGTCTGGTAAGTAGAGAAAGACACACCTAGGCTAATTCATCTAAACTAAGGAAACCAATTTACCTAAAAATATTTATGCTCCAAAAATGAACAGTAAGGTATCCTAGGGGATAGGAGAAATAATCCTAGTCTTTAAAAAGTTCACAATCAAGTTTGGGAGACAAAATGTACATAAGTAAAATGTTTCAGTAACAATACAAAAAAGAAATATGATTTTTGCCACAAACAATGTAAGAATTTCAAAAGGTCAAAATGATGGTCAAAGATTGCTAAGGGATGGCTGCACTTGTGCAGCATTTGAAGGATGGGGAAAATCTGGGTGACAAAGAACAGACAAGGCAAAGTGTGAGCAAGGCTCAAAAACAGGTATGAAAAGTATGAAAGAAAATTCACAGAGCAGTAGCAAAGAGGTCAGAGTGGGGACTTTCAAAATTTTTGATTGCAACCCATAGTGAGAAATATTTCATATTTTATGAAATATTTCTGTATATACTGGCTTCATATTTCAAGCCAGTATATACATATGCAAAACTAAAACAAAACTTTTATATAAAATACTAATAGTCATTCATTAATTACATTCAATGAACTCTGATATTTTATATTCTGTTCCTCCTTTTTGTTGGGGGGGGCCACTAAATTGGTTTTAGGCCCACCATTTAAAAAATACTACCCTAAAGCCCAAGGTTTCTGTTTAGAAATAATCAGATAAGGTACCCATATGTGTTTTAAAAGACCCTGAAAGGGAAACTAGTCAAAACTAATCAATTAATTACTCAATAGATGAAACTTGGAGCTAACTATAGCCTAAATTTTAAAGGATGGTCTATAAGCATGTTAAAATGTTATCTGAGAAAACCCAAATCCAAATAAAGTTACCAAGACAGTAAGAATGGCATGAAACGTAACCATAATGTAATTAAATGCATTATAACCCAATGAACATAGTGAGAAATATTTTTTCAAAGGGGAGATGTGCAGGGAGAGGACAGAGTAAACCAGTCAAGCTGAGCATCCATTAATTCTTTCATTCGCTCAACAAATATTTCCCGAGGGCCTTCCATGTACCATGAACTACAGACTGAACAAGACAGACAGGATCCCAGATCTCATGGAACTTACAGATTGAGAAGACATTAAATGTAGAATTAAATGTGCATTAAATGTAGAATTCAAAAAACAATTATCAGTATAATAAAAAGTATGATGAAGTACAGAGTGCTATGACAGCATAAAAAAGGGAGAACCTAAACCAATCTGAGGATCAGGGCAAGAGATGATATGTTAGGTCTTTGGTGTGGGGATGTGGGAGAATGGGAATCAGAATGTTTAGACTTTTCTTACCTAAAGAGATCATCCAGTTCCCTGCTTTGCTTCTCCTGCTTTGATCTCACACTTGCCACTCTTCTGATTTAAAAAATAGCTTGTCATATAAATTTCTAGAATGAAGAATGTACTGAAAAACCAACATAAGTACCCATGCAGATATACTTCCCACTAAAGATCAATAAACTGGCATGCTAGAAGACAGAACCTGTCTTCTCCAAATCTGATTAGAGAAAAATCAATGAATGGGACCTAATGAACTCTGGACACATTGACAAAAATCAGATTTCTGGGCCTGCCAAAATGAGGACCTGACTCTAGATCCTGGTGACTAGATGACTTTCCTCAAGATAATTTTCTTGGCCCCCTCTAACTGCAAAGGATAGAGTAGACATGAGCCTTGGATTCCAGTGCCAAGAAAAAATTTTTTCCATTAATAAATGAGAAAGTTTCAAGTACTAGATGACAAAATGAAATTGGCATTGTAGGACAATTGTGTTATAGTGTGACTGACAGACTAGAACAGGAAGTGTTATAAACGAGGATAATAGGTAAGACACTCATAAGATGATTGAACCTAAGCTAGGATGAAGGCAGTGAAAGAGGAAAGAAAGAACTGTTAATAGTAGAAAGGAGTTAGAATTGGTAATCAAATGGCACAGGGTATAAAAGGAAGGTATCAAAAATGACTCGTAGGTAAATCTGAAATATGCCTACTACAGTATTTCAGAAATGTGATAAAGAGCTGACAAAAGTTGGCTAGGCATGGTGGCTCACGCCTGTAATCCTAGTACTCTGGGAGAGCGAGGTGGGAGAATTGCTTGAGCTCAGGAGCATTTAAGACCAGCCTAAGCAAGAGCGAGACCCATCTCCACTAAAAATAGAAAAATTAGTCGAGTGTGGTAGCACACGCCTGCAGTCCCAGGTACTTGGGAGGCTGAAGGAGGAAGATTGCTTTGAGCCCAGGAGTTTGAGGTTGCAGTGAGTTATGATGACACCACAGTACTCTACCCAGGGCAACAGAGTGAGACTGTCTCAAATAAATAAATAAAATAAAGCTGACGACAGTTAATATTCGTCCCTTAAAAGTAATATTTAATATACAATAAGACCTCTGAAACACTAATAAATTTCCTTATACTTGGTGTAATAAGGTCAATGAGTGGTAGAAAAAAAATTCCCTTTTTCCCTCCATTACAGGGAGGCATCCAAAAACAGAACAAAATTCCTACACAGAAAAAAGAAAAAGAAAAAGAAACATATATACTGGCCTACTTAGTCCATTATTAACATCAACATATCACCGAAGCCAGCAAATATTTATCTTCAGTTTGTCTTCAGTTTGACTAATTTTAAAAAATATCTTTTTACTAATTACAAATTAAATGAGACTATAAATTTTTCAAAATTACTAAATATGTATTCTTAACATGTAGTTTACACACTTAAGAAATACACGTATTTTCCTTAACATTTAGGGATACCTCCAGCAAGTCACATTTATTCAGTCATTCACCATGCATGAGGTACTGGTGAGCTTACAGCGTAGTGAGGAAACATAATAATCATATAATCATACGTAAATCTAGTATCAAACTGTCATTAAGTGCTATGAAGGAGAGGAACCCAGGGCAAAAGATCACATGATAGAGGAAGCTGACCTAGCCAGAGAGGTCAGGGGAGGGAAGGATTCCCTGAGAAAGTGATGATTAGGCTGAAATCTGAAGGATAAAAGTGGGAAATAACTGAGGGGTGGGAGGTAAGCACATGCATTCCAGGAAGACAGGACAACATGTGGGTTCCTCTGGCAAGAAGGAACACTGCATGGGTGAAAGAACTAAAAAGGCTAAGAAAACAGGAGTACAGAGAACAAGGGTTTGCCAAGATAGGCAACTGTCACACCATGCAGGACTTTCTAGCCCATTTAAAGGATTTTGGGGCCAGGTGTAGTGGCTCATGCCTGTAATCCCAGCCCTTGGGAGGCTGAGGCAGGAGGATTGCTTAAGGCTAGGAGTTCAGTATCAGCCTGGGCAACATAGCCAGACCCCATCTCTATAAAAAATAAGAAAAATTAGCTGGGCATGGTGGTGTGCACCTGTAGTCCTAGCTACTCAGGATGCTGAGACTGAAGGATGGCTTGAGCCTAGAATTTGAGGCTGCAGTGAACTATGATCGTGCCACTGCCCTTCGGCCTGGGTGACAGAATGAGACCCTGTTTCAAAATCAATCAATCAATCAATCAAGGAAGGATTTTGGTCTTTACCCTGAAAGATCAAGCAAGATGAAGAGTTAAAATGTCTGCTGGACTCTGAAATACAAGAACACATTAACCTTATTAAGAACTGTTTACGAGAATAGAAACAGACTAGAATGGAATAGGAAGAGGAATAGGAGTTATGAAAATGGACTCAGTGACTACTGACAAATATTTCCAAAGGTTTGAACGTGAAGAGGGGAGAAAGCATGGTAACTGGAGTGAAGAATGAGATCAAGATTCCCTTGCGCTCTCTCCGGCAACATGGCGGGTGTGGAGGAGGCAGCGGCCTCCGGGAGCCACCTGAATGGTGACTTGGATCTGGACAACAGGGAGAGAGAGCTGCCTCTATGGCTAAGGAAACAGCCAAGAAAAAAAGACGGAAGAAGAAGAGTAAAGGGGCTGCTACAGCAGGATAACAAGAACCTGATAAAGAATCAGGAGTCTCAGTGGATGAGGTAGCAAGACAATTGGAAAGACAAGCTTTGGAAGAGAAAGAAAGAGACAATGATGATGAATGTGGGGATGGAACAACTGGAAAAAAGAAGAAAAAGAAGAAGAGAGGACCAAAAGCTCAGACAGACCTTCCCTCAGTTCCAATATATGACCTGTATCCTAATGTATTTCCCAAAGGACAAGAGTACGAATACCCACCCACACAAGATGGGCAAACAGCTGCTTGGAGAATTACAAGTGAAGAAAAGAGAGCATTAGATCAGGCTAGTGAAGAAATTTGGAATGATTTTCAAGAAGCTGGGGAAGCACATCAACAAGTTAGAAAATATGTTATGAGCTGGATCAAGCCTGGGATGACAATGATAGAAATCAGTGAAAAGTTGGAAGACTGTTCGCGCAAGTTAATAAAAGAGAATGGATTAAATGCAGGCCTGGCATTTCCTACTGGATGTTCTCTCAATAATTATGCTGCCCATTATATCCCAATGCTGGTGACACAACAGTATTACAATATGATGACATCTGTAAGATAGATTTTAGAACACATATAAGCAGTAGGATTATTGACTGTGCTTTTACTATCACTTTCAATCCCAAATATGATACATTATTAAAAGCTGTAAAAGATGCTACTAATACTGGAATAAAGTGTGCTAGAATTGATGTTCGTCTGTGTGATGTTGGTGAGGCCATCCAAGAAGTTATGGAATCCTATGAAGTTGAAATAGATGGGATGACATATCAAGTGAAACCAATCCATAATCTAAATGGACATTCAATTGGGCAATATAGAATACATGCTGGTAAAACAGTGTCCATTGTGAAGGGAAGAGAGACAACAAGAATGGAGGAAGGAGAAGTTTATGCAATTGAAACCTTTGATAGTACAGGAAGAGGTGTTGTTCATGATGATATGGTCACATTACATGAAAAATTTTGATGTTGGACATGTGCCAATAAGGTTTCCAAGAACAAAACACTTGTTAAATGTCATCAAAGAAAAACTTTGGCACCCTTGCCTTCTGCTGCAGATGGCTGGATCACTTGGGAGAAAGTAAATATTTGATGGCTCTGAAGAATCTGTGTGACCTGGATATTGTAGATCCATATCCACCATTATGTGACATTAAAGAATCATATAAAGCACAGTTTGAACATACCATACTGTTGCGTCCAACATGTAAAGAAGTTGTCAGCAGAGGAGATGACTATTAAACTTAGTCCAAAGCCACTTCAACATCTTTATTTTCTAAAAGTTTTGTTGGAATACATTATACCAGAATGAATTTGAAACATGTTGCCTGTTTTAACAGTGGACCTATGTAATATTTTTTATCCATGTTAAAAAAGAAGGAATTTGATCAAAAACAGTCTAATGTAATTAACCAAGGAAAAAGCTTTCACGACTTTTCAAATGTTAACTGTTTTACCCTTTCCTGTGTAGGAAATGCTATAAAGCTCAAATTAGTTAGGAAAGACTTAAACATTTTGTTTTAAACACCTAAGAGATGCTTTTTGGATATTTATATTACCATACTCTTACTTGAATGCTTTGAATGACTATATCCAATTCTGTACCTATACCCTCTGATATTGCTTTTTAACCTTCCTGGAATCCATTTTCTAAAAAATAAAGACATTTTCAGATCTGACAAAAAAAAAAAAGAATGAGATCAAGATAAAAAGATGGGTTAATGGAGAGAAAAGAAAGAGCAAAAGAGAGATAAACATATAAGACAGAGAAGGGGTAACAGATCAGGAAAAGGACATGAAGGGTAGAATTTACCCTAAATAGGAAGACAGGGCAAAACTTATTCAAAATGAGGCAGATATAACTCGAATTGTAGTTTTGAGGATGAAAAAAGAGAGTTCATGTCTATTGGTTTCTGTTTTCTCTGTGACTAGGAGTTTAAGGGGTCATTTGGAAGTTAAAGATTTGAAGAGTGTGGAGAGGTCTAAAATTATCACTGCTGTGAACAGGACAGGGGTGACTAGACTACCACAGAAGGACTGTCAAGCAGTATTAATGGTTGCTTATTCACAACAAGCCTGTGCGTGTATTTACACAGCAGGGATGACACAAGTCACAATACTTGGAAGTCATGCAGCTGAAATTCAAGCATAGGTCTTAGAACTCTACAACCTCTATTTTTTTATTCTTTTGCAACTCTAAGATGTTTAATTTTTTAAAACTGTGGTTAAAACACACACACATAACATGGAATACCATCTTAACCATTTTTTAAGTGTACAGTTCAGTAGTGTTAAGTATTTAATATATTCACCTTGTTCATCTGATCTCCAGATCTTTTACATCTTGCAAAATAGAAACTCTATACCCATTAGACAATAATTTCCCATTTCCCCTTTTCCCAGCCTCTGGCAACACACTATTCTACTTTCTGTATCTGTGAGTTTGACTACTTTAGATACCTCTCATAAGTGTAATCATACAGTATTTGTCTCTTGTGACTGGCTTATTTACTTAGTATAGTGTCCTCAAGGTTAATTCATATGCTAGCATGTAACAGGATTTCCTTCCTTTTTAAGGATGCATAATAATCCACTGCATGTATGTCACATTTTATTTATCCATTCATTCACTGATGGACATTGGGTTGCTTCCCTAAGATGTTTAATTTTTAAAAAAAAATTCTTCTGACTCTTGGCTTTTAAAAATGTTTTCTATGTTGCCAATTAAAGTCTCCTGCCACAATGCTTTATTATACAATATATACCCTTTGCAGCTGTTGGCAACTCCTTTTCCCTTTTGCTTCAATGATTTGTTTAATGATAATAACTTGGAATGAGTATGTACTAAAGAAATGTACATAACCACACATAACATGCAAGCCTTGTTTTTAAGTACATCTAGCTGGGAGGGAGGGCAGCAATATTAAGCATGTAATAGCATTACTAACATTAAGAACATTCAGATACATAAAATATATAAAAATCTGATGTCATAAAATGAATTAGGTTGTGCTCCAGTAGTAGCATGCATGTAACAATTTAAGCACCTAAGACTGCCTTAGAATCATTAGCTGTTTGGCTTTGGAGAAGTTACTTAACCACTTGAAGCCTCTATTTCCAAACTTGTAAAATGAGATATTTGATAGCAGCTACTTTCACAGGTGTACAAAGGGGATTGAATGAGAAAACCAAACACAACATTTAGTGCAGTGCTGGGACATAGTAGGAGTTCAGTAAACATGGCCTTCATTATTATAAAGTAATTTATCATAGTGTTTCTGAAATAGCTTGATTTATGAAACGCAGATTTAGACTTTTCAAGTACATCAGTTCTTTGCAAAGTAGAACAAACCAATAGAAAAAAAAATTGCATAGACAGAAAATGCACTCAGGTAAGTCACCTTGAACGAGATTGTCTACAATCATTTATCACACAAATATTCTCTTAATTTTCCCTGGGAATTTAAGTGTATTTCAAGAGAAGTATTAACATTGTGAGCAGGAAATTCTTTTTCAGGACTGTTCCTCCCGGTACAGGGCTTGAGGCTTCCTTGCCCCGCCTCCTATGCACCTGCAATGTATCCCAGGAAATGTGACAATCAAAATGCACCCTCTCTTTCAAACAACCCTGGAGGGCTGTAACGCCCCGAGTTTATAAGCACCAAGAAAGGACCCACCTCACATCTTCCAGAGTTCCTTTACTACCATCTAGATTCCACCCCACCCCGAAAATCTACTACTCCAAAAGTACTGGAGTATCTAGGGCCGGACCACACCCGCAGACCTGGGAGACATTTGCTGAGCGCGCGACACTCCCGTCCAGGCCACCTTCTGGATGGTAGACTTCATAATCGGGGGTACTAGCTGCCTGCAAGACCCCACCACCACCACCCCATAAGGAACCCCGGTGTCTACTTTGGCCTGTGAGTTTTCAGCTTCCTCTCGTGGCTGAAAAATGTCTCAGGTCGTATGGCCTCATTGCCAGTGACTTGACGCATATCCTTACAAAATCAGGGCCGCAGACTCATGGTGTGATGGGAAGTGAGAGGGATCAGGTTCAGCCCTGGGCTGCGAGAGATAACACACCTGGCTCCAGCGGACCAAGCCCTCATCGTCTCGACTCTCTAACCCCAACTCAAGGGCTAGAGCCTCAGCGCCGAAGCGCGCCATTCAAACTGGGGAGGGGCGGGACTCTGGGCCCAGAGGTAGAAAAAAAGCAGACACTGCGCACAAGTGGGGATCTGGACTCCGAGAAACCTCACAGCCCAGGACTCTCCCTGCAGAACCGGTCATCGTTCTGCTCCACCGTTTCTCTTCTGCCCGGCCGCACTTACCCGAATTTACCGCCAACAGCGTCGCCATCTTGGAGGCGCACTAACGGAGCCCTCCTGCCGCATGGAGGCCCCAGGAGAGGGAGAGGCTGCCCTGGGAGAAGCCTGAGCAAAACGGCACCACGCTGTCCGCTCCGAAAGGCGCTGTCTGGCCGAGCCAGGCGTACAAAAGACTCCCACATCTGCTCTGGGTCACAAACATCAATTTTCCCTGACATTATTCCCATTCAAATGAGGCGAGGGCAACCAGGTCAGAGATTCGAGGTCCTCGCCTTGACGTTCATAGTGCAGTGCATCCTGGGACTGGTAGTTTTTTTCCTAATGATGCATGAGGTTGGTTAGGTGGAGTGGCAAGGTGTTAGAATAGAAAGCAGTATTCTGAGACTAGTTATTAAAATAATGCCCACTTGTGATGCCATGAATTCGAATCACCTCCATTTCAAATTAAATCTTCTTTGCATTAGTCCCTTACATTGGAGAGTAGGGGGGGTGTGTAAGGTGTCTGCACCTCGAAAAGCCATTTGACCTAAGTTTCCATGACATTTCAATTTACCAAGTGTATTGTATCAACATAGTTACATAGAGCGAAACAAATCATAATTTTTTATTATTAAATTTTCAGGGCTAGGCGCGGATGGCTCATGCCTGTAATTCCAGCACTTTAGGAGACCAAGGAGTGGGAGCCGGGCGGGGTAGGGGGGCGGAGGAAGCATAGCTTGAACTCTGGGGTCCGAGACCTGCCTGGGCAATACAAGACCCAGTCTCTACAAAAAATTAAAAAATTAGCCAGGCGTAGTGGAGCGTTCCTGTAGTCCCAGCTACTCCGGAGGCTGAGGCAGGAGGATCGCTTGAGTCTGGAAGTTGGAAGTTGCAGTGGGCTGTGATCCTGCCATTGCACTCCAATCTAGGACACAGAGTGAGACCCTGTTACAAAAAATAATAATAATAACACCAAATTAGAATAATGAACGCCCAGCTTCAATAACATAGCCAATTTCCCTTACCCCTACGCACAGATTATTTTAAAGTAAATTCCAGACATATTTTATAATCACCGAGTGCTTCTCTACCTGTCACCCAAAATAACTGACCCTCTTTTTATCACTGGTTAAATTTTACCTCGCTAATTTTCAAACTAAAAAAAATAATCATTACCATTTACTATCATATACCATATATCTATTAAGAATTTTACATGCATTATCTTATTTAATCCCTGCAATTAGGGAGATGACATAACTACAGCTATTTATGTCTGAGATGTTCTGTGTGCCTTACAATCTCATGTGACACGATGTACATTAGGTGAAACACAAACTCACCGGTGATTTTTTTTTTGAAAGTCGTTGTATAGAGACAAATGCTAAACTACAATAAAAGTGGTTTTAAAGAGTGAAGGGTTGGAGAGAGAATGAAAAGGCAAAGGGATTTCTCATGAAATTTATCATGAAGGTGAGAAGAATATTGAATGGGAACTTGACAGGAAGTGGCTTTCAAAGGTTTTCTTTCTCTGCATAACCATTACAAGCCTTACACACACAGGCCTTTAAGTCCACACACTTCCCTCTCAGTAGATCACTTTGCTTTCTGTGAAGGAACTCTTTAACTTGGCAGCAACCAACCCCCTCACCCTTCATTATACGTACAAGCATTCTCTAACAGGATTCCTCAGGCTCTTGCAATTTCGATATTGCTATCTAACCCCTTCCAAAACTGCTCTTAGAATGGTCACCAGTAATAAACTGTTAAATTCCTTGGGCACTTTATTTCTGCATTATAAAAATTATTGTGGCTTGTAGGACACCACCATTCCTGGTTTTCCACCCATCTTTCTACCGTGTTTCCCGAAAATAAGACCTACCCATAAAATAAGCCCTAGCAGGATTTCTAAGCATTTGCTCAATATAAACCCTACCTCGAAAATAACACCTAGTGATGGGTGTAGCTACGCAGCATATCTGCATAACCCATGCATTTTGTCACCGGGCAGTAAAGAAGACAAACAGCCCTTCTCATCTACCCCATGAAAGCTCTATTGCTCAACACGAAAGATTGGGGCCAATGGTTCTAAAGGAAATCTTTCAAGTTGCAAGAAATTCAGGATGGAATTCTGGGTTTGGAGAGTTATGATGATGTTCCAGAAGAAGACTTAACTATATTTGAATAAATGTAGATTGTTGTACCGTATTTTAAAAAAATAACACATCCCCTGAAAATAATCCCTAGGGTGCCTTCTTGAGAAAAAATAAATATAAGACCCTGTCTTATTTTCAGGGAAACACGGTAGTTCTTCTTTTTTTGTTTTTGTTTTTTTGTAGAGACAGGGTCTTTCTCTTGCTCAGGCTGGT